ATCTTGTTGGAATACCCAGTGCCTGTTATTGAACATGGTATGAGAAACAGGTTCCACAAGGTTCGTCAGGACTGTATTTTGATACACAACTGCATTCGTTTTTACACCTTTCTCACAAAAATGTACCTCTGTTAAGCCCCAATAAGAAACTCCCAACCATACCATGAGCGAGGATGGAAAATGACCTCGTTGGACACGCGGAATACGGTTGCTCGCTTCTTCACTACTGTGTGCGTACACCTTATCATTTTGTTTGTTGTAGCTCTCTTCTACGGTAAAAAATTTTTCATCCGAAAAAAGAATTTCCCGATGTTTTTTTCCCGCGTACCGCTTCAACAAAGCGCGGCATCTCTTCAGTCTCAGGTCCATTAGGCGAGCATTCCAACAATGTCCTGTTTTTCTTCGATACGCCCGAAGCCCTAAGTCTTCATTTAACACCCTTTTCACCGTAGTTCTGCTTAACCCCATCTGAAGGGCCAACAGTTTCTGCTTACGTTTGGGATTTATTTGAATTCGCGCCTTCACAGCTTTTACCACTGCTGGAGTCCTAACAGACCGAGGGCAACCACTTCTTGACCTGTCATCTACACTAGAGTCTTCATTGTATCGTTTGATGGTACGATAAATGAATCTTTTGGTTATATTCAAATTTTTCAGTATGTTAAAAATTTGAATTGGCGCGTAACCGCAACGATGCAACGCAATAACTGCAACACGGTCTTCTTTAAGCGTCCACTCCATATTTAAAAATGAGTAGAATTCTAAAAGTATACATTTTTATTTTCATGAACAATTCGAAATTCGAATTCAAGAAATTTTTTTGTGGCCAGCATTCTAAAAGAAAAGTTTTTACTGTGTGAAAATACTTATGACCTGACTAGTTACTTACAACGAACGTGTAAGTTTTTCAAATTGTTTACATGACAACTTATTACGTTTTGTTTTATCTCTGAGCGTGAGTGTACGTCGGTAATAAAAGCCATGAAACTGTGTTTTAACAGTTGTACAAAGAAATACGGAAAAATATTAAAATAAATGACGGATTTATATTTTCACGTCTGCTTGCAGACCACTACGAGGGCACTTGATATCTTCATGTAAGTGATGTGTAAGTGTTATAAAAGGCGACTAAGTGATTCGTCGATGAAGGAAGGAATTTTGATTACCTACGGTTGATTACTTGAACATACGGAGTTACACATTCCGCTAGTTTTAATATCGAGCAAGATCGAGGGACTGCTGATTAATAAATAGCCTTTGCAGCAGGCACTTGAAAAGAGAAAAAAAACAAATGTAATGATATAAAATATATGTAATGATAGTGTTAGATTTTTTAAGTTACTAACATAGAGTATAAGTAATTCTTACTAACAAAATGTTATGATTTTAACAAAAAAAAACTGAAATAAAGTATAAATAAATAAAAAATATGATTTTAGATTATCAAAGAAGCTTACAATATACCTGGTACTAGCTATAATTTTAACCTGTTCATCCAAAATTCCAATGAAAAACAGCAATAGCAGCATTTTCTCGCCATTTTAGTATTTCATCATTCTCAGCCCCTCGTTTAAAAAATACCCCTGTATCTTTAGTCGTTCACACAAGCTTAACTCGACTCCACTCAACCTCCAAATTTTGAATTCAAAATGACTTATTACTTTATGTTAGAACAGATTGATCAAGCCTAGCTATCAGCTAGCCATTGTTTTTATTGATCCGTTACAATCAGATGTTTTCAACCCGATTTTTTTTGTATGCAATTTCAGATGGACGGATTTTATGGCACTTTCACAAACATTTACTTTATTACTGATAGTATATATTATTTAATCTTATCTATTAGTATCTTCTTTGTTATATCTGTGAGCTCAAAGTCATGAAGGGTGCTTGTAAGCAAATGTTTATTTATTAGCTCGAACAACATGTGTTTCAGCTTCAATTGTTTTTCGATAGACAGTCATGATTAATAATGTTATTGGAATTATTACTAAAAACAAAAGCGACCTAATTTACGTGCTGCAAATTTACATTTGAAAAAGATTTAATTCGATTTACGTCGTACGGAAACGATTTCGTGATCAAACCAATACATATTTAGGGGTTTTCATGACAAAGGGATGATCTTCCACCGAGCGGGTGATATTGCTCGGTAAACCGACGGTCCGAATGTTGTTGTTCGGAACTTGTACATATGCAAGCTTATCTTAAAATTATCGTTAACGAAATTCACCTCCGTATCTTTAGTCGTTCATTCGAGTTTAACTTGACTCGACTCAACCTCCAACGCGGGTTTCGGTATGCTTGATCGTAAAAATAACCTCCACTCAAACGTCCCTCGATTCTCCTCACCGGAGTGGAGTAATTGAACTATCAAGTCAAGGCTGGTTTTCTATCAATGTCCAAATAGTATGCAAATGGAAATATATGATTTTGTTGTGCGATGGCCTGGATATGTGCATGACTCGCGCATATTTACCAACAGCAGAAGCTGTTTGAGATTTGAAGAAGGCGATTTGGCTGGAAGTTACATTCTTGTCGGACAGCGGTTACAGGCAGACTGGCTTTATGTACACTCCTGTGTTGAATCCTCAGAACCAGAACCCAGATACAACCGAGCAAATGTATTAATAAGAAACATTATTGAACGTGTATGGTGTATTAAAGGACGCTTTGCTTGTTTGTATAGAATATTACAAAACAGTACACCAAATACAAGTAATATTTTAGTCTCTGCTGTCCTACACAACATTTGCTTAATTTTGGAGGAATGCTCGAGGCGTCCTCAACTGAGTTAGAGTGCAGGGATATTTGAGGACATGTCTAGAACTATGGGTGTACACATGGTGTAAAGTAAAGGTAGAAGTTCGTCCCGCTGCCTTGAAGTGGGACGTTTGGGAAGTTATATCCACAACCCAATGTGACCTTTAAACAAGATCAATTAAAGACTAAACTCCGATGCGCTATTTGCTGTATACATACATCAATACAGAAGTAGACAAACATGAAATAATTAGGTACATACCATTTTCTCTTCTATTTATCAATTGACTTTCTTTTTCTATTTACTAGCGGTTGAAGAACTTTAATGTTTTATAAAAACTGGCAATAGTGGTGTTTTAAGTCGAAAATAAAATGAAAACAAATATATACCATGAATTTAAATCTTCAACTTCGGTAATTAAGGTCGACTTACGGTCATCAAGCGAACATAGGTTACAGACCTCGATCTTATTCAAATATATTTAAAGACGAAATTTAAAAATTTAATGCAATTCAATACTTTTTCACTCACTATAGAATTTAAATATTCTACATAGTTATCATTTTTACTACAAAATTTCGAAGTTTTTCTTTGCATTTATTCGTTTTTTATGCTGATGTCTTAACTATGATTTCACTCATGATTTAATTTACAAAGTTTACCATTTTTACTAAAAGAAATACATCGTTTGCAGTGTGAGCTTAAAAGGTTACTTATCATCTAGGACAGTGATTCTCAACCACTGTTCCGCGGCACTTTTGTGTGCCGTGAAATTTCAAGTGTGCCGCCAAATTTTGCCAATATGTAATGATGTTAATATTATTAAATTATATGAAATATTTTTTTTTATATTATTAGCTTGTAATTAATCCCTTTTTAAACGTTTAAATATTATTAAAGCATATATTAGTTTATTTCGTATATTTAATGGTTTTTTATAAACGTTTTATGCAGTGTTTTAAAAAGTAAATAGTTTTAATCTTTTTCTTTGTGTGCCGCCAAATTTTAAAATCGTTTAATGTGTGCCGCCAAATTTTAAAATCGTTAAATATGTGCCGCAACAAATAAAAAGTTGAGAATCACTGATCCAGGTTCAGCTCAACCTTTCTCATGATATTTAGTAACCAAATGCTTTTGCGATACGATAGATACGATAGATTGCGATAGGTGAGCATCGGTAATAGATTAAATACCACATAAATATTATTTATTGTTTTTTGCATCTGTAGGTAGAGTAAATAGGCAGACTGTAAACAAAATGAAAATATAGTCATTTATCTCTCTCTCTCTCTCGCTTTCTCTCTACTGCCAGCGTTAGAAAAGGATGAACGTTGTTTTAAAATTGGTGCTGTTTGTTGAGCAATACGCACGCACACTCGCTCACTCGCACACAACTTGGCCGCCATTAAAAAATAAAATAAACATAGAATTTTTGTAACAAGTGTAGTTTTTTATTGATAAAATATTTTCCAGGGTTCAAGTAATACAAATCTATTTATGGATTTTAATATTAAAATTTGTTTTAACAAATCCTATGAAATATGCTGCTCGATTAAATAAGTACAATTAGGTAACTACTAACTAAAAAAATGATAAGTATCTGTAGGTATGAAAAATGTAAAGTACCTGCTATGATCTAAACTCATTAGATTAGTATTGGAAAAAAATCCAGATACGAATATAGATTATTTTTCAAATACTAAATATGTATAATATAATTATAAACAAGGGTGGTTCAAAAAACCCTGATTTTACCGTCGAAATCAGACATGGCGGATTTTTTGTCGTTTTGACAACATTAAAATTCTTCATAACTAGCTGCTCGTCTTAAAAATAACCATAAGGAAAACATGATCTTCATATTTTTTATTTTTTAAATACACACTAATATTGAACCACAGTGAGACTATTTCTCCGCTATATTTGAATTGCATCATTCACAATCCATCGTTTAAAAAACAGATTTTGCAAAAACCTGGCTAGTTTTTGTTGGTGTTTTTGAATTAATATTTTTTTAAACTCGGTTTCATTGTTTGACGAAGTCAGAACACGTTCTGTTGGTTTTTATACTACCTACACTTAAATTAACAACAGTTTAAATCGCTTGCAAAGTTTAATAGGAGCGGCTATTTTTATGAGTGTTCACAATTAGACGAATATTTGTTTAGATAAAAATAACACTCACCGCAATTAGATGCGGTGAGTGTTATTTTGTGCGGTGAGTGACGCACACTCTTGTCGTATTCAAATAATAAAAATTAGGATATTTTTTTAAATCCATTTTGGTTCAAGGGTTACGACCATAAAGTTTAAATTAGATGCTACTTTCGATAGACAATATCCACGAAATAAAAACTTCTATTTTACCGATCTAGCTTACTATAGTGCATTCTGGAAGTTTCTTTTGAAAAAAGTTCTTTGTTTGATAACTTAAGAAAGATACGCACAAAGATCTCATTCACATAATATTACATTATCATTCCGACCATAACAACTGCCAACATTCCAATGGATAACATGTTTTTACCCGACGAATTCTTTTTTAATGATTGCACTGCGTAATTTTGCAGCACTCCGCAGGGTATGGCCTTCCTTATATTCGAAGTTTGTGTGATCCTGATGATGTAGCACTGCATCCCGGGAGTCACGTCCACTGGTTTACCCTTCACGTCTAAGGCGTTGACGACTGTCGTGTTGGACACTGTTGTTGTCACGGTCGATATGGTGTTCACGTTTGCAGTGGCATTCGCATTTGCAGTCGCATTCGCATTTGCATTTGTGTTATCGGTTGCATTGTTTGTAGCGTTCAGCGGAACTAAAGTACCGTTTGGAAGCATAGCGTATATCACAGGTCCTGGTGCGATTGTAGTCGTTGCCACTGCGGGCGGCTCGACTCCATTGGTTGTATTCACTACCGTTGTGTTCGTGACCGTTGTCGTTACGGTCGTCGTGTTGCTGGCGGCGTTCTTCGTTTCCGCTTCGAAAATGAAATGGGTGATCAACTGACAATCGATTTTAGTTTCTTCATAATCCCCGTTGTCTCTCTTCACGCCGAACTTGCAAATTTCGCCGGGTTTCGGCTTGTAGGTGGAGTGGCTATGCGCGTAAGCCGTTCCAGCCAGCGCGCCGAGATTCAAAAGCGCTAATCCGGCTAACAGCGTTCCATATTTGCTTCCAGAGTTTTGCGCCTGGTAAACGTAGGTCGGAGGGGTTCCGTGGTAAACTGGGTAGACCATTGGTGGGCCGTGGGGCGGATTGTATCTTATTTGAGGCGGGGGGCTGTAGTGATAATGGTTGTGTATTGTTGTAGTATGAGTCGTTTTTGGGTAGCTCTGTCCTCCTGAAGACGGATAACCGTGGCTACTCCCTGAATTGCCATGACCAGACATGCCTCCTGAAGACGGGTAGCCGTGACTACCTCCTGTGTTGCCATGACCAGACAAGCCGCCAGAAGATGGGTAGCCGTGACTACTTCCAGTGTTGCCATGACCAGATAGGCCACCAGAAGATGGATATCCGTGTCCGCCCGACCCTGACAACCCGCCGTGACCAGACTTTGGATACGAATGTCTGCTTCCACCACCGAATCTCTTGGATGTTACATTTTGTACACTAATGATACACAAAATCACAGTCAGTTGCAATAACACAGAGCGTTTTGAAAACATTGTGAAAGTGTGTTTGTTTATAACACACAAACGTCAGAACAATGCGCGGACGCACAAGTACTGAATGAAGTTCGTAGATTGTAGACAACTGGTTATTCAACATGTGTTGCCGGTCTATAAAACAAATTTACTAGACTTAAAACCTATGTAGAACTCGTGTGGTGGATAAATATTATTTATTATTATATGTTCTTGAATTATTTTTTTGCTTTGCAATAATGTCTCAACTATATTTTCTACTAAACGCATAATTGCTTTGTTAAAGAAATACAATTGTGATAGGACCCGGATGTATGCACTATCTTCAAACTAATGCACTAGCATCTTTGAAACGGCTCCGTTGAGTAACCTGCAGTGCCATTTATTCTCAGGTAAGATTTTCAAGAAGAATTGTTCGAACGGTATTTGTGCTAATTCACAGTTTACTGAGTTGTGTTACTTTTATATGATTGAAAAGTTTCTTAATAGTATAATAGTTTAATAGTGTTGTAATAAATGTTAAAGATATAACAAACTGAATAGAATTTTAAAATTCAAAATTATTTCCATGTAAAACAGACAAAAATAATATTCAAAAAAATAATATTTACGAAAAATTTTAAACAAAGCAACATTCGATGCTGTTTGTCCCCCAACAACATTCGCGCGTGACGCTGCGTTACTAATTTCACTTTCATTTTGTTTGAATTTAGGCCTTAACTCAATTGGATAAGTTCTATCGATTCTTCCTCATTATCTTATTGAAACTTCAACTTTATCACTAAGGACATAAGAATGAAGACACTGGAAACATCGCTACAGACATATTTAAAAATACGCCAATTATGACAGTCTGCTTCGACAAACAGCGTTGCGAATGCCTTGAACAATGAAACCATATTTTAACTTGAATCGAAAATGTCCATATTGTTAAATAGTAGCTCGTTTTCAAAAATTTTAAAATGCTGTTGAGTTCAATCGACGCATGCGCTGTGTGCATTGCAATACTTTAATTCTATTTGACAAATCACGCGTCATCTGTTTGTAGGTTGATTGATGGATTATAAAAATTTATTCCGAGATCTCCAGATGTCCTCAAAGTTTCAACTCAATTGGATGAATGAAAAGCAAACACAAAACATACAAACGGAAAACCACGAATCCTTCATTTGGAATTACCTACTTTTAACAATGTGCTTCATATAAAACTTTATACCGTAGCCGCTTCCAAAACCTGTTCTCCAAAAGTGACCTCAAATATGGGAATACCGTCGAAGTTTAATATTTTTAAATGAGTAATACGTAATTTCGTGACGGTAACACTTTCACTGTTTCAAAAGATGTCTAGTGTCAACAACTATGTTGCCTAAATACGTCGTTATTTTTCCCCTAACAAGAGCGGTGCTTCGCAGAATCTACCACCGGATCGGAAACGCGACCCACTGGGAAGATCCGACGAGAAACTTTGTGGCCTGTGTCTGGGTTAATTTACTCGCCGAGCCCTTCGTCGCAAGCGACGGGTTCGACGAGAACGATGACCGGTGCTTGGGGTACCTAAAAGCACTGTTAGTGGATCGGAAGAATCCGTGATGACGTGTGGTCATTTGTGGAGATATGAAGAGATTATATAATCCACTGAGTTTCTCGCCGGATTGCAAAACACTACTCGTGCTAGGGTCAGCGTTAACAAATCTTCTCAAGTTGAGCACGTGAGTTCAACGTTTACCTACGTTTGCCGCTAGGGGCGCTTGCCCAACTGCATACAAATATGAGTTAACTTTTACGCTATCGATAACGTTAAAAACTCGCAGTAAGCACACAGAGCCACACTCGTCCCACACCACTCACTGATAAGACGAAATGAATCATTTTTAAATATGTTTGTTGTTGTTAAATGACACATAATGACGAATAAACACAATGTACAGCAGGTGGTAAATTGACTTGGTCAACTGTCTTGACGTAACGGACTTGGATTTCCTAAGCGCAATGTAATGACGTCAATTTTGACGTGTGTCTTAAGGAAAACCAATATGATAGCCGACACCGGCCGACAAGTGAGTGGGAAGGTTCACGATAAGATGAAATTATCTGAGTGTTGTGGCAAAAGCTAATTTAGTGACTCATGGATGGGGAAGGCGGAGGACCGTAGTGGAGAGATACAGGCTGATGATGATGATAATGATGACTCGCGGCATCTTGTTAACACATTGACTGCCATGTAGGTCACTTTTTTTCCTACCTGAGAAAGATTTAAAAGCAGCACCATAAACCACCACATTTTAATAAAATCTAGCACAATTCACTCTGTTTAAAACCGTTATATTAATATCATTTCCATTTCCTACACTAGCGCTGTTTCGATGATTACCTATTCCCTAAATAATACAATTCCTTTATTAATTCGCTGTTTACAGGTGGACACTTTTCCAACATGTCCCCTATACAAGAGAGAGAAAAAGAGAGAGTATTCTTTATTGTACGCCAAAAAACAAATAAACAGTGCGATACATTAAATACAAAAAAGTACAATTGGCGGTCTTATCGTTAAGAGCGATCTCTTCCAAACAACCATCAGGTGGACAAGAATCATTTGGAAACGAATGAGAAACAAGATGGCGCTCTTTACATCTATTCTCTATGATTATTACTAACTTGCCTTGAGAGGCTATTTCAGCTTCACCCTAACATGTAGGTGAGCTCACGGGGCTCAAACCTGATGACGTTGCTAATACGAACCCTAGCAAGAGCCGTGCTTCGCACAATCTACCACCGGATCGGAAACGCGACCCACTGAGAAGATCCGGCGAGAACTCAGTGGGCTGTGTCTGTGGGTTAATTTACGCGTCGAGCCCTTCGTCGCAAGCGACGGGTTCGACGAGAACGATGACCGGAGTAGGTCACCGGTGCCCTACGTGGCGCACTGAAGTAATTATGTCGATTTCTGTTACTAAGGGTCTAGATTACCTAATTCTTTTGTTTTTAATGTATGTTTGAGTCTACTAAGTCTCTTAGAAATAGATTCATTCTCAGTATCTTTGGATTCGTCTTTCCCATACTCTACTAGATATTCCGGCGCTTTAGTAAGAAGAACGAAGAAAGAAATCGACATAATAACTTCAGTGCACCGCGTAGGGCACCGGTGACCTACATGGCAGTCAACGTGTTTTTTATTTATTTATTTTTATTGCCTTTGTAGGCAGACGAGCATACGGCCCACCTGATGGTAAGTGGTCACCGTCGCTCATGGACGTCAGCAATGCCAGGGGCAGAGCCAAGCCGCTGCCTACCTAATGTTAAGTGGTTACCGGTTATCGGAGCCTTGAAAGCGAAACGCATTACTGCTTCACGGCAGATACCTATAGGCAGGGTAGTGATAGCTACCCGCGCGGACTCACAACACGCCCTAACAACAGTAATTTTGGAAATAAATAAAAAACTTACCTCGACACTTTATCCATAAAATAACGATCAATACTGAAAGCCAAAATAAACTTGACCGCTCGTTCTAAAATGATTCACGGCCTTGGGGAGAACGGACGCCGTTGATTCAGCGGACTTTTAATAAAAGCTTTATAAAAACCTTCATATTAAATATCGCTATAGTTTTTCCTCACAAACAAAATATGGTTACCGGTTATATTTTATTTAATATAATTTTTTCCTACCTATGCTGATAGCCTTGAGAGGCTATATCAGCTTCGCTCTAACGTGTAGATGAGTTCACGGGGCTCAAACAGGAGTTGTGCTAACATTGGCCCTAGCAGGAGCCGTGCTTCGCAGAATCTACCACCGGATTGGAAACGCGACCCGCTGAGAAGATCCGGCGAGAAACTCAGCGGGCTGTGTCTGTGGGTTAAAATTAATAATACTGTCCGGTATTTACCTACCTACCGCGTAGTTGGATTAGGTAGGAATAAACAAAAAACCGATATTAAAAATGACGTTAAACATTAAATTTATAAGTAGTAGACATTGAATTTGTTCAACAATTTATAATATTCGAATTCCAGAAAGTTCTTCTTACTTACGGGATATGAAAAACCGGCTAGGATGTTTCTATTTATTAAACTTTCCTCATAATTCTGCTTAAAAGTGTTTAATATAGCTTCCAAAAGTGATCTCTCGACTATAGATGTAAGAAAAAAGCTATTAGATGTAAGGAAAAAGGATAAGGTTAAAAGTCGAAACACGACTTTTTATTCCTAGACCTTGATTATAAGGAAAATATTTATAAATACTGGTACTTAAAGAACACGAGAATAATCTTAATGTAAATCCCCAGACTTGTAATTATTTTCCTGAATTTTAATTTGGAAATACAATAATAGATGTCGCTTTTGCCTGGAATATTTAAAAATAATTCTTAATTTCGTAGGTTGGTATTTCATTTTGCGTTGGGTGAATAGTTAAAGTGGCTTACGGTAGATGACGCTGCATTAATTTAATTTATTTTTGAATTTTTGCTCTTATCTCAATATTAGACTAAGAAAAATAATGTTTTTGGTTAAAAGTCATGGATTAAAGGCAAAAAGTGACGTTTAATACAAGTTCTTAATTTTGCTTGCAAAAAATTTCTTGGTTTTATAGTTATTGTAAAGATGGCACTATATTAATATTACTATATAAATGTTTACGGGGTAAACTAGAGATGGCGCTTTGATAAATTATTTTTTAACAGAACTTTTTTTTAAATTCATGCCACAAAAAGTTTCTACTTCAGAGTCCAAACGTTGATTCCTACTTGTATCTACTACTACTACTATGTATCTACTTATTGAAAACTAAATTCACGAACGTACTTAGAGTAAAATGTATGGGCGTTTCAGTCTATGCCCCATACGAAGCCATTTTGAATTGGCGGCAGGAGAATCCTGTACTTAGAAAATGAAGAATGAATGTTTTGTACACAGACATATTGTTTTCAGTAAAATAACATTGGTTGACAAATTTAATTTATATTGCATTGGCGATAATTTTATAATTGATTAAAAAAAAATTATAACTCCGTTATTGCATTTCTTGGTTAATGACTGTTAAGTAGACGCCATTACTCGTTGGTACTAACCCATAGACACAGCCCACTGAGTT